AACGTCAGCAAGTTGAATCGACGCGACGCAGGAATCCAGAAGATTTGTAAATAGCGTGACTGTAGCCTGTGGAAGTTTCCTTGAAAAATGAATCTCATTCTTAGAAATTAAACATTTTTAAATGTTTTTTTTTTCTTCGATCTTCCGCCGCCATCTTGATCAATTAATATCCGTATAGAATATTTACAATAGAAAAACACGTTATTGTCAATATTTCGAACTTTGGCAAATAGGCAACCTTATTCAAAGTAATCACTTTTTAAGTGCAACAATTGAAATGTTTTTTTCTACTTCCGTCTGTAAAATACCTAATTACGCACCGATCTAGCGTGCGGCAAGCGTCACGTCAGTTTCGTTTCCCATAAATCCGAGCCACTTCGGACATTTCCGGGATTTTACCGCACGGGTTTGGGAGCAATCGGATGTTTTTGGAGATATTTTTCGACGCTTTGAATTTTGACGTTTGTCAATTCTGACGGTCATGTCAGTGAATGTTTTCGTGTAGTTTTGCGAAAATGTATCCAAATACTAACGGTCGTAGAAAAAGTATAGTATGCAACACGTTCGGTAAACTTTTTAAATCACTCGTTAATTAAAAACTCGCTCCGCTCGTGTCAAATAAACTCGTGAGTCAAATGCCGTTGCACTTGTTGCATAATATACTATTTTCTACTCCCGCCTGTAAAATATCTAATTATATATCGATCTAGCGTGCGGGAAGCGTCACTTTACTACGTCAGTTTCGTTTCCCACGGATCCGAGCCACTTCGGAGATTTCCGGGATATCAGTGAATGTATTCGTGTTGTTTTGCAAAGATGTACCCAAAAACTAATACACAGAAAAATGTTATGCAATATATCAAACTATTTAAATACCACCTGCTATAAGCTTCAATTAAAATCTAGTGGACTAGTCGGTAAGTAAAGAGACATTTACAAATTAAGTTTCCCACAGAAATTTTACATACCGTTCGCATGAACTTTAGTGGTTTTTACACTCTTTATATTAATATCTTGCCAAGACCAATTGCACCATTTTCAAATATCCATGTCTCATCAGCTCAAACAAAACAAAATTGAAGGTTAGGACCTGCTTTTTCTTGCTTACAGGACCTTAAAAAGTCTTTCTTTGAATAAACTACTTAATGATCAATCGTAGAGGTTAGATAAACAACATAACGTTTTAAAATTGTGTTTATTCCGTTCTTTATATGACATATCCAATAAATACATATCTGCCTGTCTAAGGTACACAGGTAAAAAGACACAACAATACCAGAACCGATCGGAACGACAAACTACTTGTAAATATTTTGTTTGAATGGTACGAAATTTAGTAATCCGATAATCTGTTATTACTTTGAATTTGTTAAATTGTGATTTTTTCGTGACGGTCGTAGAAAAAATATGCAACACGTTTGGTAAACTCTTTAACTCACTCCGCATAACCGCACTTGTTGCATAATATACTATTTTAGTTTTAAAATATCAATTCAATAGAACTAAGTAAAATCAATCCCAATTTTATAAACAAGGCATTCATAGACACAGACACTTTTAAATCTGACATAAAATTCAAAATCTTTCAGAAACGGTAAGACTTAGGCACAACATATTATACCACGTTCTGCATCCAAAAAACGCCCAGATTTTATCGTTCCAGCTTTGGCAGTTTCGGAGATATTTACGTATTCAAGTACTTTTGACTAATCTGGTGTACGAAATATGGAGTTCTTGAAGTTTCAGAGGAATTAAAAATGAGTTAAAATACAGGGTGTTCTGTTTAAATAAAATTGTTACTTACTACAAAAACCAAACATTCTGCTTATATGACAATGTAATTTATAAAAATAAAAATGTTTTTAATTGATTAGCTTTGGTGCTTGAAATGACCTTTCTTTTAAACGCTTTTAAAAAGTGTTTGTTCCCACTAGGGTGCTATTTTGAAAAAACTAGGTTAACCTAAAAATTTGTTAGTTAAACGCTATTTCCCATTAAACCAAGGGTGGAAAATTTTTAGTATTTATTGTAAAATTTTAAAAAGAAAAAAATATTGTTTTCAAAAATGTTTTATACTGCTATGAATAAAAAAACAGTGAAATTTACTGGGTCACCCAAATTTATTGGGCCAAGTCGTTGAAAAGTTACAGAATGTTCCACTTTCTTGAGACACCCGGTATATCAAAAATTAAACAATTGAAACGGTAAGTTGCCTCGGATCTTTTATACGAGAATATGGATAGTGTGAATGATACAAGGAACAAGAATAATAACCCGGAACTGGGCGAGAAATTACGTGTGAATTCGACTATCGCTCTTTATTGTAGTTATGAAGATATTTTCTCATCTTGTGGATGTCGTTATACTAATATAACGACTGAATACTGCTTTTTATCATTAATTAATAAACACACACAACACAAAATTTCGAAAAATCTGTCACGACCTTCATTTATTACATTTTATAATTATTCACTTATATCTTTATCCATGTATTTAACTAGGCCTATTGCACATATGATGAATTTTGGCAACGCTGCATCATTTTCACGATTAAAGGGAATAACAAGAAATCACTAATCACCACTAAGGTAGAATCAATCAAAATAAATTTGCAATAGACCCACGATTCCTCCCTCTCACAGATGAATGATTTAGCAATACGTGATGGGAAATATTGCTTGATGGATGGGACAGCAGGCGTCTTTAGAAAATTTTGGTTTTCATTGATTATCAATTTGTTTCCCTTTCTTGTATTATTTCCTGGCAGTTTTTGTACATCCCCATATAGTGGCATTACCCAGTAGAGATTCTTTTACAGCATATTGATGCTCGCTAATAGTTTTGATGAGATAGATTAGTTTTATTAATTATAAACATTTTTGAGGTTTAACAAATCAGATTGGACATAAAAATTCAACTATGTGGCTACTTAAAACGCTTTTACAAAAAAAAAAACAACAAAGCCCAACAAAATAAACCATTAAATTTTTTATTTTTGTTATAAGAAGAAAAAAAATCTTTTTGACACGAGTCCAAATTGAATTAAATAAGATATAGGATAAAAAGTAAGTAACTTTAAAAATAAATTATATCTAGCTTCGGCTTGCATTCATATTAACAGAAGATGTTTTTCTTTAATTTCTCTTTATTGAAATTATACCGTACCCAGGAATTTTTTAATATTGTGAAAAACGTCGTAATTTAAAAAAAAAGCATTAAGTAAAAAGAATATATAAAAAATACACCAAAAACTTTTTTTCAAAAAGTGTCATTTTAATTTTCATAAAATTTCAAAATAGAAGTAAACATAATATTTTTAAAATATTTTTTACGAGATTTTTTGAAAATTGTGTTACTTATTTTTTTCTTCAGGTTTAATTGAAAAGGATATGTTTAACACATTTAGTTGTAGTTGCGAACTTCGATAATAATTCTTAATTATCTGTCAATAAAATAATTACAGTTAAAAAAGTATTTTTTACAACCTCACCTTATGCCTCATACCTTATAACCTAAAAAATTCCAAGTGAGCTTGTTGAATTCAAAAATCGAAAAATTTTCCATGCGTGAGTCATTAGTTGAGTAACACTCCAATACAATCAAATGAAATATATAAAAATATAATATATAGTCTCGGAAATAATGGATTTTTTTTGGAAAATTTGTTTATTTTTTAAAAATGACTTTACTAAACGAAAGGGCTCAAACCTGAAAGTTTTAGAAATATACATTCACAGCATTTCACAGATGAAAAATATTTGGCACATTTCTAAATGACCAACAAGATTTCACCGATTTTGAAAAATACTTTTAAGGTTATGTGTGAAATCTTTATACTCAGTCGTAATTAAAAAACTATTAAAAATTTATATTTCATAAAATTTCCAAATGGATGTAAACTTAATATTTTTGAAATGTTTTCCGAGGTTTTTCAAAATTGTGTTTCTGTTTTTTTCTTCATGCTTAAACTTTTTATCATTGAAAAGAGCATGTTCCACTTATTTAGTTGCCAATTTCGATAAAAAAAATATTATTTGTCAATAAAAAAAAATAAGCACAGTTAAAACGACAGAGAAACTAGTTTTTATAACCTTATCTTATGCCTTAAACCTTAAAAATGCCAAGGGAGTTTGTTGAATTCAACGAAGGTAGGATGATATCCTAGAAAAATTTTCCATGAGTGAATCACTAGTTGAGTAACACTCCAAAAAATGCAAATGAAACATATCAAATAGTCTCGTAAATTGTTATTAAATCACTTTTTTTTTCAGAATATTTTTTTATTGTTTAAACAGTGAAAATTTTAAAAATAATTTAGACGAAATTAAAGGACGTATTGGAGAGTTTAGCGTTGTCATATATTTAAAAAAAAAAGAAATATTTGCGAAAATTGCGCCTAAAAGAAAAAATAATATATTTGGATCACAATTGGAAAACAATTAAGCTACAAGTTGAATTTTCATGAGAACAAGGATAAGAACTACTCATTGTCAACTACTCTCTATTTTCTCTCTATCCTTCTTGAACGTTTTTAGATAGATATATAGCATCTCAAAGTTATTTCAATAGAGGTTAAACCTATAAAAAATATGAAAACTAACGCTTTTGCCGGTTTACAAGCAAAAAAAAAGGGAAAAAATAGCTTACATGAATAAACGCATGTAGAAGTTGCACCCCTTCGGGTTTTGTTATTTTCAGGTCAAATTTAAGCAAAAGGTGTACGAAACGATCGTTGTAAATATTTACCAATAGCCAAAAATAAACTGGCCCTGAAATATTTTAATCTGATAGAATGTACCTATTGACGCTTGTTAAAGTAATTTAAAAATATTTAAAATTTGATACGACGGTGCTCGGCATTTGTTTATTATCGCGAAGGGCCACCAATTATTATGTTTATACTGCCGGCAAGCACAGATCCTTTGGAATATAAACGCATTTTTACAACAAATATGCAATCCAGTTTCAATAGGCTAGGTTCTAAGTAATTAACCTACCTTGTTTCCATTGTTTGCGGCAATCGGGAGATAATAAATAATAACAAACATCCATATTACGGTGAAAACGAGCATGATTTTTATGTTTCGCCTCATTTCGTTACTCCGTTCGGTAACGACCGCCCCCGCGTGTAAAACAAAATCCCGTCACCACTGGCGCGACATCAATGGACCGCGGTTTTTGCAAAAAATAATCGCAAAAACGATTGCAGCATCCACGGCCGCCGCGGTACTGTCATAGCCGACATTTGTCTATCATTCGGCGGACGATCTTTTCGCTACCGCGTTTGTTTGGGGTGTCGGGTTTGGGTGTTGGTAAAGCGATTTGACGATCCCCTCTCTGCCGTTCGGTTTTGCGCCGGTGCGAGCGGAACAACGACGGGATTTGGAGCAGCACACCGGCAACCCTGCGATATCGAGCGTCACACAACAGTGGCGGACAATTTTTTGGTTATACGACCGTCTATCCCATATAGCTATTAGACATATAGAGTCCTTGCCTATGCTCAAGAATCGTAAACCTAATAGGATTGCCCAATCCCATAAGACATACGTTCGCCAAAATTATCGATCGCACGTGGTGGCTTGTGACGTAAGCGAAGTCCTCTAACGGTTTTTGTGTATTCTGTCAATGCATTCCAAGGCGTATTAAACCGTTGTATTTTGTGTTCTTTAAACAATTAAAATAATTTAAACTAGTGAGTAGTGCGCTTATGTTTGTGTTAATTGTATTTCTGTAAAAAAAACTTGGACAAAACACTGTTTTAAAGCTTTAACAAATACTTAAAAATTGTATGTGCTTGAGTGGCGAGAACTGAGAAAAGCAGTATTTTTAACCTTAAACAAAGACTTAAAAGTTTTGTGTTCGTGTTGCTTATTAGCGGTGTTATTAGTTAGGAGGTAAGCTCAAAATATTACACATAATAATATAGGTAAAGGTAAGAAATACATTTCTTTTACCTTTTTCAGTGGGATAAGTTACATCAAAAAATAGTTAGCTAGCTGGAACGAGATGTGTCATGTATGGGTGCAATATTTTGATGAAAAAGCAAGTTCTCGAAAAATGTAGTTTTTATCGATTTCCCAAAGGGAAAGATCCAGTATGCCGAACTATTCGGAACGAGTGGATAGTTCGATGTACAAGAGAGGACAAACTTAATCCAGATAAAAGCTATGTCTGCTCAGTTCATTTTACTGAAAATGATTACGAAAGAGACTTACAAAATGAGTTATTAGGTTTTTTTTATCTTGAGTAACACATTAAATTCACCACAAAATTTAAATATTGGATTTGCTGTTTCCACCCTATTTAACCAGAAGCCACCAACAAACAGGATTATCTAGATCAAAAAGACTTCATTCCAAAAATGCCAAAAATGAAGCTCAGCAGGTATTGTCTGAGCTTTTAGCAACAATCGATGGCCACAAGTGAAATTCTAGACAAAAATCCATCTCCAGAACGCATGCCAGAACCCCGGCCAGAAAATCTTTGCAGATGATACCCGCAGAAAAAAAATTGGAAATTATGGTAAAATTGTAAAGTAAAGATTTAAGTAAACGTAGTAATATGTATTTTTATATTATGTACATACGAGGGTACATATTATTACCTACCACCTATAATTCGTTGTTATGTATGCCTAATATATATATATATATATATATATATATATATATATATATATATATATATATATATATATATATATATATATATATATATATATATATATATATATATATATATATATATATATATATATATATATATATATATATATATATATATATATATATATATATATAATGTTCTTTAATATATCCAAAAATAGGGATTTCTAGTTTTTGAAGATTTATAATGGTAGAATGCGATAAAACACAAAGTTTTACAAGTAAATCGTTTTGTTCGCTAGTTTTATGTAACCAATACAGGACTTCAACTACGTCACAGCCAACGAGAGTTTTCGCATTGCACTTGCGGACAGATTTGGCGGATTAGGCAATCCTATTAGGTTTACGATTCTTGGCCTATGCTAATAGTACATGAACTCGTGAAGCAAATATGTAACATTTTGAAAAAGTCTGTTCAATATGCACATGCGCGAAATTTAAAATTTCGTGTTTAACCAATGGCAGCTCCAATTGCATTTGAGCCGTTCGACCCATAACGCCTTACGGCTTCCAACAACCAGCATGGCCGCTAGCAGGTCGTCAATTTGGATGCTGCATTTTTACGGCAGTATTTTCTGAAATCCTATTAAATTTTCAGGCAAAAAAGGAATTAAGGTGTAGAAAGCGTTGTTAAAAAAATTAACGACAAGTGCAGAGTTATTATACTGAATTGCAGCATACAGATCGGCGTCCTTAATATAATTTTGTAAGTATTTTAGCGTTTTGGTTCTTTAAGCGCTATAGACACGATAATAGCTAATTTCTAAAGAATTTAGGCCCATAAATCGGCGGCAGTTTATTTTTATAAAATTATTGGTTTAACGTCTATTGAAAATGTAAATAAAGTTGAATTCACGAAATGTGACTCTAAAATATTAATATAATTTTGAAGTACTAGATATCGCACTGCAAACATCCAAGTGGAAAAAATGTTCAACAAGCACCTCGTATAGACAGGACGCTCATTCTTTCATCGCAAGTCTAGCAATTGCAGTTTCGCTTCCCAAATGTATAATTATGAAAACTACCAATGGACAATTTCGTTAAAAAAGTGTAGGTATTAGAAGATGTAACCAAGAAAATTAAAAGCTAGCATAAAACAAGTAAATAAACAATTAGCCCTAAATGTTATAGAATTAACATCACCAAACGCTCTTATGTTCGAGATGGAAAATTTTGAGTAACCAATTATGCAGGAGAAATATCAATATTTTAGACTGAAAAAAAGCTGGTAACATATTACCAACAAAATAATGTGTTAGAGGAATGTGGAATTATTTGATAAATTTTATCAGTCGGGTTAGATATACATCAGAAATGAAACAGTTAAATAAGTAAAAAAATAAATGAAAAAAGGTACCATTTGGCACTCTAAATATGGGTTGTTAACTACCATCAGCAAATAGAATGACCAGAAAACAAGTAACCCACCCGATTTACAACTGATCACCTAAAAGATACTGCACTGCCTACTTTATCAAGAGTTTACCACCTCTTCTATAGATAAAAGGAGTGATGTGACCCCCACATATGGCTGCTCTTCTAAAGCTATCAGCCTCCCTGGCAGCACCATTTTTGACAAAGAATGTTATCCATTGTTTCCTTACAATTTCATCTTTTGGTAAACAAAAAAATTAAATGTAAATTGAATGACACTACCTGGCTAAGTGATTATTATATCAAAACTAGGAAACAGACATATATGCAAGTTTACAAAAAAAATAGTACAGAGAACATGGTTCAGTCTCATAACTTGTCCAAAAACTTGTACTAAATAGTTATTCACACAAGGGAGGTAGGTGATACTTATGAGTCAAGGACATAGCTTATTCTCGAGCCAAGCAAATAGTCGGAGACTAATCAACATCTGTTTTTCCCAAGTTGTGCATATAATATTTTTCCTACTCAAGGTGTCGCAAATCCAACAAGCTGATTTACAAAATCAGTATTTATTGATAGAACTGTTTCCTATTAAATCAGTGTCAAATTGTTTGTGTACGTACTGCAGATTCACTTACCCATAAGACCTTGCGGCTTTCAACATGCAACATGGGCGCTGACACATGATCAATGTTTGGATGCGGAATTTTTATGGCAGTATTTTCTGAAAATATGTCGAAATCCTATTCAATTTTCAGGCAAAAAAGAAGTTAAGGTGTGGAAAAGCAATGCAGAATTACATGTCCCGCATATAATTCTGTAATTAATTTGGCGTTTTTGTTCTTTAAAGCCCTGTAGATACGATGCAATTTCTACATGTATTTATTCACGTAAGCTATTTTTTCCGATTTTTTTGCTTTTAAATCGTCGCAAAGCGTTAGTTTTCATAGGTTTAACCTCCATTGAAACAACTTTGAGATGCTATATATCACACAAGAAACGTCTAAGTGGAAAAAACGTTCAAGAAGTTGACAATGAGTAGTTCTTACACTTGTTCTAGTAAAAATTCAAATAGCTTCTTATATTTCCTGTAATTCTTGTACATATTTCAAAAACAATCTTCGTAGCTATTTAAGTGAACCAAAAAATGTAGGGAATTCTATTTAGTAATTTCTGTAAGTCTATTTTCCAGTTTGTTAAATGTAAAATATATAGAAATCACTGTTTCTCTAAAACCATATTAAGTACTCGTATTTGCCACATTGGGTGTAATTTTCACTAAATGACGAAAATGAAGTTATATATGACGTCTGCAAGACGTGAATTTAAACTACTAATGTCTCAGACGAATGATGTCTTTAAAGTGACGTCTTTTTTACGTAAATTAATGTCGTCAATCTTTGTAATTTAAGTGGCGCCTTTTTTACGTCAACTTAAAATCAGATTTTGGTCATTACTACCGAAAAAAAATATGACGATTTTTAAGTTGGTTTTTCTTTTCACACAGAAGCTGCAACTTAAATTACATAGAATATTTTTTACTGCGGAAAATGGAGGATTATAGGTAAAGAATAAAGATGAGCCTTTTTTTTATTTATTAATTGACACTATAATATCAATAAAGAAATGAACATATTCTAATTTAAAAAAAAAAACGCACCGCTAAAACAAAACCAGAAGCATATCTAAAATTTTCTTAAATTCTTTGGATAAAAAAGGCTTGTTCTCTGAATCAGAAATTGATTTGTACTTATTTATCATTTTCCTCACTTGTGAAATAAGGTTCACTAAAAGAATTTGAATTATACACAAATTGTCTTTATCTGAGTTTGTGTTACTAAAATTAGAATTAATGTTATTCTGTGTATTATTTATGTTATTTTCTATTAACACATCACCACTAAATTGCAGTTTTGTAGCATTTAAAGCCCTTCGAGATCTTTGCCTTGGGTCCACAATTTCTTTTCATTTACGTTTTGACAAAAAAAAAAGAACTAAAATTTCAGATTTTCACGAAATTATATATTTTCAAATGCCAATTTTTTCGACACTTTTTTCAGAACTAACAACACAATAGGAAAAGTTCTAAAACAAAAAAACGAAATGTCCAAAATCTCAAAAATAGACACCTGATGAAATGCGGATCTTCAAGAAACGCATTAACGAACATAAAAGAGCGTTGAAAAACAATAGTCTAGATTCTACTTATGCTACACACTTAAACACAGAAAAACACATTTTTGACGACGATTTTGATATTTTATATACAGTCACAAAAAGTAGAAAATTTAATTTATTGGAAGCCATGGAAATGAACAAAATGAGACATTCAAATGTATTGCTTAACGATCAATTAGATTTAAATATCTCTCCATTATTAATCTTAAATTCTCACAACAACAAAAATTAAGATTTTAATGCCATTTTTCGGTATTTGTAGTAGCAGGTAGTTTGTAAATTTTAAATTTGATAAAGACACGGTGTTGTCGAAACAATTGTCATATGAAAATATATAATTTCATGAAAATCTTTTTAGTTCTTATTTATTTTGTTACATGGATTTTCATCAAGTAAAAGCCACCTCAGTTCAATTTACTTTTTGACATATTAAAAGTTCTTTGAAAATACTTAGGTACACTGCACTTAAAAAAAATTATTAGGGGCATATTTAAATAAATCTGCTTATTTCATCTGATAACAGTCCTGGTGAGTTTTGTCTGACGATATCTCTTGATAGTCAATCCTTGGCATGCTTTAGCCATGTTTAAATCACATTTTTACTCTCAGTTTCTGTTGTGGCAGCACCCTTTTAACTATTACATTTACTTAGTTTTTCAACTATTTAATATTTGAATGCTCCAATAAAACTGATCGGCAATATAACTGTATAAGTGTGTCTTCAACTTACGCTTGATTGCTGCTTTTAAATTGGGTTCTCGAAAAGCTTGGTTATTACTTCTTTGTCAGGCTAAGTTGAATGGGGTAGCGAGGTTGTCAGTGCAACAAATTTTAAAATTTTGTTTGCTCGACTAGTTAATCTAGTCGAGCACCTAGTATAAAACAATAACGCATGGTGATATTCGGTAAATGGGCAAATGATCCCAGCGATTGTGATCCACATTCGTATTTGATGAAGAATTAGACATGTTAATTAGTCAATCGAAGGGTCTGTGAGTGGTAGGGTTTTATTAACCTTTTTAAAATTGGTTCCGTGAGCCTCTTCGAGAAGTGAACAGTATGTGGAATGTGTAGTATCTCATAAAACATGTGTCGATCCATGACATGACATATCAATATTATACCATAGATTTCTCAAATGGGCGAATGATCCTAGCAAACTACCCAACAGCCTTGATAAACTTATTTGTATTGATTTAAACTATCCGTCAAGCCGTTAATAGGTTATATGTTCTTTTGTTTGGGGGTAATTCGAGAAGCTTAAAACGTTTTTCTATTTGCGTGCTTTTTGATAACAATGACCGCGCGCAACGACGATGAAAGCGACCAAAAAACTGGTCCTGTGGAAAACGCGTGGTCAATGAAAATACCCGAATTTAAGCCTTCAGACAATCCACATGGATTACTGGAAGAGAGTTCTTTCGCTACATTATTTCCCCGATACAGAGAGCAGTACTTGCGTCAAATTTGGCCTCTGGTGCAAAAGACGTTAAAGGACCACTTTGTTAAAGCAGAACTAGATGTCATCGAAGGTAGTATGACTGTTAAAACCACAAAAAAAACATGGGATCCATACATTATCCTAAAAGCTCGGGATATGATTCGGTTAATGTCAAGAAGCGTGCCTTATGAACAAGCTAAGCGGGTTTTGGAAGACAATGTGGGTTGTGATATTATTAAAATAGGAAAAATTACTAGAAATAAGGAAAAGTTTGTTAAAAGGCGTCAAAGAATAATTGGACCTAATGGATGCACACTTAAGGCACTGGAATTGCTTACCGAGTGTTACATCTTGGTCCAAGGTCAAACAGTATCTGCTTTAGGACCTTACAAAGGCTTGCAGCAAGTGAGAAAGGTTGTGGAGGATACAATGAAGAATGTGCATCCTGTATATAACATAAAAGCTTTAATGATTAAGAAGGAGCTTGCGAAAGATCCAAAATTAAAAAATGAAAATTGGGAAAGGTTTTTGCCAAAGTTTGTGAATAAATCATCAAGCAAACGGAAGCAGTCCAAGAAAAAGGAAAAGAAACCGTACACACCATTTCCTCCACCTCAGACTGAGAGCAAGGTAACTATGTAATTTTGACAATATAATAAAGTTATTTAATCCCTTTTTGTTTTTAGATTGATAAACAATTGGAGTCTGGAGAATATTTTCTCACCAAGGAACAGAAGAGAGCCAGAAAACAGAAAGAAAAAGATGAAAAACATGCAGAAGCTGCAAAGAGACGGGAAGAAAAGAGAAAAGAAGCGTTTGTTCCCCCAGAAGAACCCCAGGTGTCTAAAAAGAATCCCAGTTTTAGTAATAAAGTGGATATAGCAGCTCTCAAAGAAAAAATTTTAAAAGCCAGGAAGAAAAAATAAAAAATGTGTTTTGCAACTAATATTTGTTTTTATTATTAAATTTAAATAGAATATTTTTGAGTATGCTTCCTTTTCATAGAGTTATAGATTGTTCTCGTAATCTTTTATGTGTTATAACAAGTAAAGTTCATAAAGAAGAGGACGTGTGATTCTGTGATTTTCAAATGATTTGTTTTTAACAAGCTCCCATAATGGTAGGCAGATAGATTTTTTCAATAAAGGTTTTCTTTAAAATATTTAAAATTTCTTTTGGTACGAATGGAGAATAATGTAGTAGTTGATAATTGATGTTTAATTAAAGTAATTAATAATTTTTTTCTTTTAAAATTTTGGCATATCTCTAATTTTGAGATAAAAATACAATTTTGTTATATATATCTCCTTGTAATCTAAATTTAACTCTTGAATATTTCTGTATTTTCGGAATTGCTTTAAAATGTTTTGAACACTCTGTACAATGTGCGTTATTGTCCAACATAAAATTATTTTGCTCTGGTTATGATTGACACTGACAAGAATGAACACATTGACAATGAAGAAAATTAAACAAGCAAAAAATGGACGAAAAAAATCGGCAAACGTTAATAAAGTTAATAAAAAAAAGTGGACTCAGGAAACCGGCAATGTTACAGTAAAATTTGGAAAGCCAGTATTTCGAATTACTTTTCAAACAGTTAAGTGGACGGTCACCGCGTTTATCGTAGGAGTGATCGTTTTAATCCTACTTTCCCTTAAGTTTTTTGTAACAGCTATTAAAATTCGCAGCCACTTGGGAACTTTTATCAATATGATTGCCAGGGGTGATGGCGACATCCTGCCCAGCATTTTAGCTTTACCCGTATTATTTTTTCTGGCACTCAACATCGTCTTGTGCTTATTTGTCTATAAACTTTTCTCGAAAAAGAAAAACTATCGGGTGAACTGGATTGTTTTCTTTTTGATTATGATTGGTTTAATTTTAATTGCGGTAACGTTGGTTTTGACAATTTACGTGCTGGTTCATATTTACGGCTCCCACGAACATCTGCATGATGGCATTATATGCTCTATGGAGAATTATGGAACAAACTCTTATTACAAGAAGCAAGTAGATCGTTTGCAAATTGAATTTCAGTGTTGCGGAAGTAAAAGATACGACGAATGGTACAATATTTCCTGGTACGATGATGCTTTGGCCAAAAAGGATCGAAACAGGTACCTAATAACTATAATTTATATAATTTTGTAAAAAAACGTTTTTTTTATACAGTACTAAGAAAGTTCCTGGCAATACACCATTTAGCTGTTGTTCCATGAGTTCCAAATTTCCTTGCATTCATCACAACATCGAAGACACTGGCACTTCTTACCTTTACACACCCGAATATAATCTCAGTATCTCAATCAAGGGATGCTTTGAGATCCTGAGGGACAAGAAACGGTCTGTCGGGTTAGGTATTGTTGGAAGTTTGATGTTAATCATATTGCTTCAGGTAAATATTAGTAAACATTTCCTCCGTACCATTATCAGATCCCTATTCTGATTTAAACGAAAATAATTTAAATTTTAGATAATTTTACTGATACCTGTCAGATTACTGCAGACGGGTCATGCTGAAAACAGCAAATTTGAAGGTAAAAGCAACGAGTACACGGTTTGGTTAATAGGATGTTACACAGGCCGAAATGAATCCAACGGACCTCCAGAGCCACCTCCCGTTCCTCCTGAACTAATGGATCTTTAATTTTACTTCAACAATAATAAACAATGCTTATTGTGATAAAAAGGTATAAAAAGTTATTATATCCCTATAAGACTTGAAATATCAATCATGTCAACTTCCGTTCGGACATAACCTACACGTCTAAAATAATGTCATATTTTGCCTCAGAAAAGTTGATGTGCTGGCATAAATTCTGCAATGTCAACCATATCGCGGAATTACTTCTAAACATAACCTATAAGTTTAAAATGTGTTTTGTCTCAGATTTGCCTATTACAAGAGCAAACCAACAATGCAAAAGGTTTATTGCGATAAAAATTTATTATAGCCACATACTCTCCGCAATACCAATCAGGTTCCCGGATTTAACTCTAGGCATAACCTATATCTAAAATAATGCGATGTTTTGTCTCAGCCCTCTAGAGCGGCCTGGGGGCACAACGGGCCCATCTGGTGGCCTAAGTGCTTCGACGCCCGCGAGGGCACCTCCCTTTAATACCAATACCAATACCAATTGTCTCAGATTTGTCTATTATAATTGTAAACTAACAATATGAGTGTATTGTGATAAAAAAGTTTAAAAATTTATTATATATGAATAAAATCTGAATCTGTCGCTGAATTTGCCTATTATTATGGTAAACTGTGAATGCAAAATGTTTTCTGTGTTAAAAAGTATAAAAAGTTATTATATATGTAATGTCAATCATGCCGCAGTAGTACCTCTAGACAAAACCTATAACTCTAAAATAATATCATGTTTTGGTTCAGGTGTGCCTATTATTATAGTAAACTAACCATGCAAAAGGTTTATTGCGATAAAAAGAAATAAAACGTTATTATATTGGCATAAAATCTGCAATGTCAATCATGTGGCGGAATTACCTCTAAACATAACCTATAACTCTAAAATATTGTCATGTTTACATCTCAGATTTCTATATTATTATAGTAAACTAACAATGCAAAAGGTTTCTTATAATAAAAAGGTATGAACATTTATTATATTGGCATAAAATCTGCAATGTCAATCAGGTCTCAGAATTACAGCTAAACATCCGGTTTATAGCAAAACAAAGGTAAGAAAATTTATTATTAGATTGACATAAACTCTGCAATGTCAATCGTGTGGGGCAATTCCCTCTAAACATAAATTGTAAGCCTAAAATAATATGGTGCATAAAAACTTATTATATATGCCTAAAATCTGCAATGTCAATCACGTGGAATTAGTCTAGGTATAACCTATCACTCACAAATAAAGTAAAATATGCCTATTATGTTCATCCTTTATAAATACCTATTAATTGTATTATATTATCTGAAAAACATTTGTGATAATCTGATGTAATTCACCAACATGTCTGTTTATCAGATATTAATAAAGACAAAGTTTTCTTAGTTATAAGTCTCATTGCATGTGTGGGAGTTGAAGAGTTATAGAGTACACACAAAATATTGTCATTAACCCTTATGGCGTGACATTTGTGGTATTCCGAACACCAATAACTTTCAATACCTTCGTTTTGGTCATCCAGTGATGATTTATCAGAAGGAATGAGATTGGTTTCAATTTCTAACTTTGGAATTAAAAACTTCATCACAGACTGGTAGAAAAATGTTCTAAGGATATCAAGACGATGAGAACTGCTGGTGGTTTTGCGTGATGAGTTAGGTTGTGGATTTTTCGACATCATATATTTTTTCAATGTGATATTTATCAACAATAATCTGAAAAATCCATTATTACAATTAAAACATCTAACTGTGATTACCTACCCTAGAATCCCACCATCAATCACAAAAGAATTGGGAAAATGCCTAGGGGATACTTGTTCCGCAGATTTTAGAATGTCCATGGAATTTTTAAAACACTGAGCAGCTGAATATTCAATATCTTTCAAAGAAGGTGTCGATCCACATAGACAGCAAACCTGAATGTCAGGCATAATACTACAAGCCACAAAGCGGAAAGCCACCTAAAAATTGCAAGTATATATATGCAGATAATATGTGATATAAACATTATACAGTTGAACTCTTGTATGGTAAAAACACAGGAACATCCTTGGATTTTTCATTTGTTTCTGCTACTGCCAATAAGGACAAAAGTCTCAGTTCATGCGGATTTAGTGACCAGTAACTTTCTGTTGCGACTGCTATTTTTCCTCCAATTAGTAGGCAGCTATACATGGAATCAACAGATTCTGCAAAGGAATCTAAAACAACCTAAATGATAAAAATATTTGCTTAATTTTTACATTTCCAATTTCTCGGCACACCTGTAAGAGATGATTTTCTGTACTCATTATAGTCTCCACAAAACCCACAATATCAGAGGAGTGCTTGTTACTAGAGTCTCCGCAGTCTAGAATATCCAGCAACCGATCAATAAGTGGATAACAAATCTAGAAGTTATTTCGCGGAGATATTTCTAGACCAAGTCGTGGTTAGACAAAAGATATACCTACCCGTAATTCTCTTTTTATGCGGTCAATGTTTCGTTGATTTTTAATTTCATCAATACCAATTATTAACACAATCGCGTCAAATACAAGTTGCAACAACTGGTATAAAACTTCAATTGAGCATCCGCTGGCGATGCCTATGATAACTAAACTGTAATAGAGTAATCAGCGGATAACCTATGATTCAGTTTCAGCAGTCCGTACCTTTCTCGAAATTCTTTCCATGCTACTGAATAATCATTTGTTAAAGTGTTCAAAAGTTCTATATTTAAAGGTTTCCCGAACATATGAACTCCATTAAGAGATCCTATTGTGGAAAAAGGGAGCTACAAATATATATATCAGCTTTTATAATACACCTAGATATTTCATTTTCACGTTTTCGCAAGAGCCTTTTTTTCTTGAAAATACAGGTAATCCTCCCCCAGACGTAATACAAATAACATGAGCTGACATATCTGACAAAATAAATGCTACTCCAGGGAAATAAACAGAAAAAGAAAACAAAACATTTTTTTTTTTACTGTCAACTGGCTAGATATGCGACGACCATTGGTTCTTCAGATTCGGGCTGACGTAATGTCTCAATCTGTGGAATTCATATTGGTAACAATCTATAGAATTCATATTGGTAAAATTCTGTATTGGAATTGGAAGAAAAATGCTATATTATTGTATCGTAGTATCCAAATAACGCATGAAGGTTTAAAAATTTAAATAATAGTATAAAAAGTGTTCTATGTGCCATCTACCACTCAGTAGCCTAATCATATTGCTTTTGTGTAACAGTTTAGTTCTTCTCAAAATTAAACATTTCTTTAATTTAGAACTGCCACCATTTAAAGCGGCTTAATCTATGCGCCCACAGAGGGGGCAGCAATGGCCATCGCTTAATTAAATGCAGTTTGATGGAATTGATAAAAACACAGATAAGTTGATTTATTCAGAGCATTTTGCAAACGCCTTCGTTTTTATATACATTTCAAAGGCCTGAAATATTTAAACTTCATATGCATTTTTCGATGTCGTTCTGCTACGGCATCGGGTAGCTAACTTTATCTCATGGAATATTTATTACGACTATAAATTATTACACGTAACTTTCTCTTTAAACACCCCGCGACGCAACCGCAGTTTTAGTGAAAATACAATAAATAATAACAAAACTTTGTCAACGTGAAGATAATCATCTCTTTGGCAACGTGTAACTTTTTCGTAACAAATTAGTTAATTTGACAATGCACAGTAACGAATCGCAAATTCTTGCCTTTAAAAAAATTGCCGATTGTTCGGTAGACGTTAACTGATACCTTTTTATTGTCGAACCAGTTGTGGGTGGCAAATTTAATAAATCGTGTGAACGTAAAATGGATGCACGGACGCACCATTACATGCACTTTAGTGCGCCAAGATAAGGTTCATTATTAATGTAAACATTATGTTTAGTAAAGGGAGTCGCGAAAATGAATGGAAGTAGAAAAGGAAAAAGAATACGAAATAAAGGAGCAAAACAAATATAACGCGAAGTGGTAGGAAACCGTTTCGATTGATAAGGAAAATTTATTGAAAATTATCACTTTAAAAAACGTAACGCTGATAATAATGCAACTGCGACTGTTATATGTTTGCTGGCAAACGCACCCTGAAATCTAAATAGAAGCGCAATCTGGTCTGGTCTGGTACCTGATCTCAACAATCTTCTGAAATTGATTTTGAAATTTTATACCTGGCGGCTTATCTAGCTTAACATTGAACGTTTATAAACCAAACTTTCTTGGTTGCTATAACTAACAAATAAATATTTTGCAATTATTTTAGATTCAAACTTAAAAATGCTCTCTATCATTGCATGGGATGCAGCCAGTGAAACCGTAAGTGGACCTTTGATTGTCACTCGAAAATATCTCAAGACAAGTTTTATTCTAGTGTAGATTTATTTAATGATGCACAAGTAGGTATTACAAAAAAATCAGAAATACTTGCACAAAGTAAAATAATAACTGTATTATTAAAAACACGTGACTATTTAAATGCCAAAAATGTATTTTTTATAGCATATCAAAAATATGTAACTCGTTGAATTTAAGAATAAAGCATTTCATAAAATAAAAATTAAACTCAAACAGTGGCCAATAAATAACAAAATATCTTGGTTCTCTGCTTAGAACGAATTGTATAATTAAGCTCTTTAAAACTAATTCCAATTGTATTTGCATTTGCATATTATAATCAATAATCCTTAAATGTTATAATATTTAAAACAAAAATTAATTTTGAGCAATATATAGTCCATAATATAGGACCGTCCGTTTTCGCCAGGAATTGTGTTGTATTGTTTTGTAACCTGTTAGATTAAGGAATATGCAAAAAGCACCATGTTAAGTGCACACACAGATTGTACAGCCCATTAGGGCACAATATTATTGTTGTTGAAAATAAATTATTGTTATTACTATTGATATTTTTATTTATCCATTATGTATGTACTATTATGTATGTACTATTTATTATGTATTTACATATACTAAATTTTATTATTTTCACGATCATTTTTAAAACTCCGAATTACTAACCAAATTCAGTTTATTTTAATTCGCTTGGAACTGCCATGGGGCTGGAGGTCATTAAAAAAAATAAGTGCACAATGGTTTTTCATTTTCTTTCTCCTTTTTGATAATATTTTTGGTAGTAGAGTAATGGTAAAGTTTTATTTTTTAAAAATATATATACATAAAATAGTTGCAAATGGAGAAAAGTAGAAAAAATGAGGTAAAAAAACAGACATTACATAATAGAATATAAAAAAAATAAATATTTCTAAATAGGTATTACCTATTGCATATTAGAAATTTCATAGTGATGTGCAATCACAAATTAAAACTGAAGTAAATGGTTATATTGCATATTAATTTTCTGAGTTTAGATTGCTATTAATTGTTTAAATAAATTTGTAGATACGGCCATAGGGAGATTTTGGACCACTAGTTTGATTGATTTCAAATCTTAATACCGACAATCATGCATCAGTAGTTTAAAAGTAATGATTTGCTTTATCTAGGACAAATGTTAAAGTTAAAGATAAAGTTAAAATAAATCAAAGTGTTAATAATCTAAAATGCAATAAGTTTCATAGGGGCTATGTCACGTGTCCCGTGATCGTTAGAACTGGCAAACGCCAGAATACCATGGCGAAAATCTACCGAAACCTGTTAGAAAAGAAACGACATGAATAAGGGAAAAGTAAAGTAAAAAAATCCATTTTAATGCCATCTTTCTCTTATATTCCAGATGAACAAGAAGAATTTAATGTAACTAAAAGCAATACTGATGCAATACTTAGACTTATATTATATAATAATAAATCAAACGTCTTTTCATACTGTAACTAAATGAATCAAGGGACCATGAAAATTATATATTAATTACGGGACAGCGCAGTACGATAAAGGTTAAAAGCTTCTATCGATATTTAGGGATATTACCTAGTGGAGAAGTAACAAAAATAAATTTGAAAACATTCTACGTAAAATGTAACGGTTTTTAATATTTTGCTTATATCGTTCCCCGAGCTATTGCGTGAATCGATCGCCAGTTCTACAGTTGCTTTTATTTGCGGTAATTTTAATGTGCACTTCGAAAACGCAAATTCAAATACATTTGCAAGTTACAGGTTCAGTAAAACTGTAACCGAATACACTCGAGTCCATAATAGATCCATGTCTATAATCGACAATATTTTTACCAATATTGACTGGACTTTCTTTCAGTCGGAAATTATTCACTGTGATTTTTCTGATCATTTTATGCAAATGATATCTATAGCTTCTTGCAACTTTCCTCCATCTTTTTTCTACAAACGTTGTTTTAAAAGTGAAAGTAACATAAATGAATTTCAGGTTGAAGTATCTAGGGTGGACTGGCTGTTTTTGTTTGACGGTGTTGGTACAGCTGAAGAGAAATTTGATTTGTTCTATAAAAAATTTGAGGAATTGTTTGACTCGTCTTTTCCATATCAAAGATGCATGCACAGGGCCAACAGAGCCAAAAAAGGGTGGCTTACCGTTGAAATTAGGGAACGGGGTGAGTTACTTAGAGATTTGCACAAATATTTTAAATATACCAACAGTAATGAAATTTTAACCAAATATAAATTATAAAAAAGTACCAAGAAAAACAACTTAAGAACGCTAAAAAAAAGTTTTTACAATAAACTTCTTACAACCCCTGCTAACAAATCTCAAACGGCGTGGACGATTATAAAAAATGAAAGTAACCTATCTAAACATAAAAAGTTTCCAGATTACTTCAATGATGATGCAGGTAGCGAGTATGTCGATTTACATGCGACCTCTGAAAAATTTAACGACTTTTTTGTGGATTCCGTTAGAGAAATAATAAATAATATAAAAACAACACAAACAACTAATAAAAAATCTTCAAGTCGAAGTCTATTCTTAACACCTTTCACGGGTGTTGAACTTTGACCCATTATTTCGTCAGTTACAAAAAAAGATTCAGCTGGGTAATATAAAATACCCTGTTCATTAATAAAACGTGTTACAGATTTTATAGTTGAACCTCTTACTTTTTTGATTAGAACAGCCTTAAAACACTCCATTGTTGTGCCTATACACAAGAAGAATAATACCCATTTAATTTCTAATTATCGTGGAATGTCACTTCTATCGGTTTTTTTCCAAAATATTCGAAAAGTGTTTTTACGTGCGGCTCGATGAATTTCTAAAGAAGGAGCAATTTTTCTCGAATTCTCAGTTTGATTTTCGCAATTGATTATCCACTCAAGATTGTTTAGTTTCCTTATATAATCAAATAGTCTCGAACCTGGACCAGAATAATAAAACATTATGTATGTTCTCTGACTTCAAGCGAGCTTTTGACGTGCTTGATATTAATTTGTTGTTGAATAAGTTAAATAATTGCGGTATACGGGGGAATAGTTATGCCTGGATTGAGTCGTTTTTGAATGGTCGTGACCAAAGAGTTGTGTTTAGAAGTGCTACTTCTGTGATTAGATCCCCATCTAAAATACTCAACGGCGGTGTCCCACAGGGAAGCATACTGGGACCTTTATTATTTATAATATTTGTTAGTGATATATCTGATTCTTTCCCAGACCATTATGTTTTCTTATATGGAGATGATGCTGCTGTGGCAGTGTCATCTAGGAGTCTCGAAGATCCCACGTTCTTGGCCACTAGGGCAGTAAGTGGTATCATCCGATATTGTGAGCGTAACGGTATTTGTTTGAACGGGACAAAGACTGAGATGATGTTGTTTTCGCTTAGGGATTTGAACAAGAGCTTATTGGTTAGAATGCATGATAAATCGATTAATCAGACTAATGTTGTCAAGTATTTGGGTTTGTTCAAAGACAGTAATTTGTCCTGAACAGGCCAAATTGACTATGTATACTTTTGTTTTTTAGCGACTGCGGTCGAGTGTGGATCTTCAGCTTTTACTATTATATTATTTCGGATATGTTCAATCTTGCTTATCTTACGCTATAATATATTTTATA